GGTTTTGCGCAAAAGAGGCAGCTAATTAATTATGCAAATGAAGCACAGCAATATTCCACACTGCACTTCATTTGTATAAGTTTTTCCGGAAGAAGGCTACAGTGTAGCTGTAGCCTAAGGCTATGTCTACATTTGCGGCTTCTTGCACGAGAAATACGCAAATGAGGCTAAGCATGGAATATCGCCGAGCAAGAAAAACCTTCTTGCACAATGCCGTTATTCTTGAAAATAATTGGCATTGTGCAAGAGGGTTTTCTCTAGCGCGAGAAGGAGCGGTGTAGATAGCTCCTTCTGGCGCAAGAGCCTCTCCTGAAAAAATGGCGGCTCATTAGGTATGCAAATAAGGCTCAGGGATATTCATAGACTTTAAGGTCAGAAGGGACCATTATGATCATCTAGTCTGACCCCCTGCACAGTGCAGGCCACAAAATCTCACCCACCCCTCCTAGAATAATCCTCTCACCTGTATCTCAGATATTGAAGCCTTCAAATACTTTGAAGACCCCAAGATGCAGAGAATCGGCCCCCCGCCCAGGGCTGGCCCCCAAAACCCCCCCACCCCTCCTAGAATAATCCTCTCACCTGTATCTCAGATATTGAAGCCTTCAAATACTTTGAAGACCCCAAGATGCAGAGAATCCTCCAGCTGTGATCTGTACCCCATGCTACAGAGGAAGGCGAAAAACCTCCAGGGCCTCTGCCAATCTACCCTGGAGGAAAATTCCTTCCCGACCCCAAATATGGCGATCAGCTAAACCCTGAGCATGTGGGCAAGACTCATCAGCCAGACACCCAGAAAGTTCTCTACAGTAACTCCTGTCATCCCTCCATTGACCTATTTCCCACTGATAATGAATGGTCAATTAGTTACCAAGATTATGTTCTCATCAAACCAAACCATCCCCTTCATAAACCCATCTAGTTTAATCTTGAAACCAGATAGATCTTTTGCCCCCACTACTTCTCTTGGAAGGCCGTTCCAGAACTTCACTCCTCTAATGGTTAGAAACCTTCGTCTAATCTCAAGTCTAAACTTCCTACTAGCCAGCTTATATCCATTTGTTCTTGTGTCCGCATTGGTATTAAACTTAAATAATTCCTCTCCCTCCCTGGTATTTATCCCTCTAATATATTTAAAAAGTGCAATCATGTCCCCCCTCAGCCTTCTTTTGGTTAAAGTAAACAAGCCAAGCTCCCTGAGTCTCCTTTCATAAGACAGGTTTTCCATTCATCGGATCATCCTAGTGCCCTTCTTTGTACCTGTTCCAGTTTGAATTCATCCTTCTTAAACATGGGAGACCAGAACTGCACACAGTATTCCAAATGGGGTCTCACCAATGCCTTGTATAATGGCACTAACACCTCCTTATCCCTACTGGAAATACCTCGCCTAATACATCCCAAGACCGTATTAGCCTTTTTCACGGCCATGTCACAATGGCGGCTCATAGTCATTCTATAATCAACCAGGACTCCGAGGTCCTTCTCCTCCTCCGTTACTTACAACTGATGTGTCCCCAGCTTATAACTAAAATTCTTGTTATTAATCCCTAAATGCATAACCTTACACTTCTCACTATTAAATTTCATCCTATTGCTATCACTCCAATTTACAAGATCATCCAGATCTTCCTGTATGATATCCCGATCCTTTTCTGAATTGGCAATAGCTCCCAACTTTGTGTCATCCGCAAATTTTATTAGGACACTTCCACTGTTGGTGCCAAGATCAGCAATAAAAAGATTAAATAAAATTGGCCCCAAAACTGATCCCTGAGGAACTCCGCTAGTAACCTTCCTCCAACCCGACAGTTCACCTTTTTTATATGACCCGCTGTAGTCTCCCCTTTAACCAGTTGCTTATCCACCTCTCAACTTTCATATTAATCCCTATCTTTTCCAATTTAACCAATAATTCCCCATGTGGTACTGTATCAAATGCCTTACTAAAGTCGAGGTAGATTAGATCCACTGCATTTCCTTTATCTAAAAAATCTGTTACTTTCTCAAAAAAGGAGATCAGGTTGGTTTGGCACGATCTACCTTTTGTAAAACCATGTTGTAATTTGTCCCAATTGCCATTAGCCTCAATGTCTCTAACTACTTTCTCCTTCAAAATTTTTTCCAGGATCTTACATACTACAGATGTCAAACTAACAGGCCTATAGTTACCCGGGTCGCTTTTTTTCCCTTTCTTAAAAATCGGAACTATATTAGCAATTCTCCAGTCAAATGGTACAACCCCTGAGTTTAGTGATTCATAAAAAATGTTTGCTAATGGACTTGCAAGTTCATGTGCCAGTTCCTTTAATATTCTTGGATGAAGATTATCTGGGCCTCCCGATTTACTCCCATTAAGCTGTTCAAGTTTGGCTTTTACCTCGGATATGGTAATATCTACCTCCACATCCTTAGTCCCATTTGTTATGTTACCATTATCCCTAAGCTCTTCATTAGCCTCATTAAAGACTGAAGCAAAGTATTTGTTTAGATATTGGGCCATTCCTAGATTATCCTTAACCTCCACTCCATCCTTAGTAATTAGCGGTCCTACTTCTTCTTTTTTTGTTTCTTTCCTGCCCCCATATTCAATGCTTAGCCTCATTTGCGTATTTCTCGTGCAAGAAGCCACGAGTGTAGACATTGCCAATAACAATGAAGGGGCAGAAGGGACTTTTATTGTCCAGACTTCTGCTTTACCAGATGCACACTGTGACTCTGCTCACTTAGGCTATGTGACTGGGGTGAGAGGTTGCTTTGGATCAGACTTAACGTGTTGGTTAGCTACCTCTCCCAGGTTCAAAGCTGGCCTAGACAGTAACAAATAACTGCGTTTTACTGGCTCATCACACGGCTGCCATAGGAGGCATTTCCCTAAACTCTGTGCAGCAGAAAGTTACGCTTCCTCATTCACATGTGAAGAACAACCCTTCCGTAACTTAGCAGAGGAGGCTTATTTCAGATTTAAGGAAAACCGTCTCTTTAGGAGAGAGAACAGTCTGGTGCTACCCCCAAGCACTCAGAAATTCTGTCCAGCCCTCTAAAAATCACAATTTTTTTTTTAACCAATAACTCTACAGTTTGTCTTGAGGCTGTTGCACTTTCAACCTTTTCTCTGCAACTGAGAGCTGGAATCCACCTTTTTAAAATAAAATTAAAAGCGGATTCTCATGGGACCACATTGGTGTGGGAACTTGGACTTAATAAAAAGCGCCCAGCATCATGTGAGCTGACCTCACTGCGATGTGTTGCTCCCTCTGGAGCAGTCTACTGTGCTCAGTGGCAGCTGCCTCCTGGCAACAGATGCTTTGCTGTGTGTAGACGTGATGGTGACATACCTAGGTCTGTTGGAAGGGGGTGGTTTGGCTGCTGGTTCTGGTTGGAGGTATGGCCTGCAGGCCTGACTTGCTTTGTGAGCTCAGTCAAGCCGCTTCAGAGTACCAGCACTGGAGGAGTTAAGCTGTATTTAGCACTCTGAAATACTTACCACAATACCCTTCCGGGGATGCCTTTGAGTTACCCCTAATGGGATCTTGCTCCATTATCAGGTGGGTCCTATAGAGAGGTGACCCTGGAACCAGTGGGGGAAAGCTCTCACTGCCAAAGCCTTGGCCATATCTTTCCAGGGGCTTTCAGTCTCCAGGGCAATCAAGCTGGCACCAGTGTTGTTTCTCTTATAAATCAATAACTCTCCTTGCCCGTGAGTGGGATGATTAGCCAGCTGCAAGGGGGCAGGGCTGTTATCTTGGTGCGACTATCTGGCTGCTTGCTGGTGACCTCCTGTGCTGACCTTGAGTTTTGCTTACTGATTTCAGCAAGGCTGAGTGGAGGTGTGGGCTCCTGGGCTGTTCTGTAAGCAGGGCTCAGCAGGAGGCAGCTGGGAATGGCTGTTTTCTCCTGGGTGAATGTGTTAAGTTTTTTTTTTTTAAAAACCACTCTGGTGTTCAGTGATTCTATGGAAAGATCCAAATGCTGCTGGCTGGTGGGTTTTGTTTGCTGATGGTGTGCAATCCGCCCAAGACCTGACTGTGGGATGGAGAACAGGGCTACAAAGGGATGCCACTTAGCCAGCTGCCCATGCCCTTGTCCTCTTTGTATCTCTCCCTCCCCTTCCAAATTACATGCTCTCTGTCCACTTCTCTTCTCCACATTCTCCCCCCCTCCTCCTGGGCTTTGGGACTGGGGGTTGAATTAGCAAAGGTGTGGGCAAGTGCACTGTGTATAATGGGCCTGTCCAGAGAGACCCTGGCCAGAGCTCAAGGGCAGTGGAAGGGCTGGTACAGCCACAGAGATGGGACCCGTGCTGGGCCCCCCAAAGCTGTGCAACAGCCGGACGGGGGAGCCAGCTCCTGCAGGGCAGCACCGTGGCCGGCCCAAACCAAGGGGAGCGCCAATGTCACCGCTGCAGCTTTACCGCGCAGGGGGCCCAAACTTCCCCAGGTCACAAGCGGAGTGACCCTGCTCAGTTTGCTCTCGGAGGGGGGAGAGATGTGGTGTAGTGGGGGTGCTGTCCGCTCTGTAACCTAGGGTCCCCCTGTGCTGAGAGGTGTGATTCCCACTGACTCATCCGCATGTGGGGATGTAGTGTCAGTACCTTGCTGGTTGCGGTACTTGGGCTGTGGATGACGCCTACTGGCCTCTGCCATGAGCACTGCCCAGCAGGTGGGCTGCCTAAGTCAGGTAGACAAAGACCCAACTGGTCAGATGGGTTAAGGGAAGCAAGAGAACTAAGAACGTGAGTGGTCGGGAGAAGGGACAGTTGCTGGTTGGCAAACATAAAGGGAACAGCCTGAGCTGAAGGGCTAGGGTGATGGATCCCTAACCCAAGGGGTCTGAGGCCTCTGAGTCCTGGCTCCTGTAACCACATCATGTCTACACTGGGCTGTATCCTGGAGAAGCAATAAACTCTCTATTCTACTGGCTGGTGGAGTCTGTGCTTGCTGCAGACTGGGTGCAGGATCGGGGGTATCTGACTTGGCATCGCAGCCCGTCTGGATACCATGGAAATGCCAATTCCTATGTAAGGGATGATAATTATGCAGGCCCTTTAAGGGGGAGCAAAAGCTTGTCTGGTCCTTCCCCTCCTCTCCTCCCCCCCTCATCTTCATTTTGCTCCCGATTCCTTCCTTATGGAGGAAGACCCCCTCCCTATGGCTGTAGTGCGTGTCTAGCCCTGGTGGCAGAGTGCTGGAGGAGTCTTGGCAGCAGCTCCAGACAAGGCACACCAGAAGCAAAACATAGAGGAGCCTAGAGAGTGGTTTGTTTTGTCCCAGAGCTGGAGACTTTATCTGAAGGCCGCTTAAAATAAAATAAAATACACAGACGCTGTGCCCAGGAGGGCATGGCTAGGGGGCTGCACAGGGAGTTGGCGTTGTGTGGGTTCCAGTGGCATCTATTTCTTGTTCATTCAGTGGCCTCTTTGTTTGGTCAGGTGGGCCTTTCTGGAACTGGCTACCAGTGAGAAGTACAATGACAGTCTGCAGGCCTACGCTGCGGGACTGGCTGAAGCGGCTGTATCCGAGCAGGTAAATGGTAGCACATGGCAGGGGTTGGTTAGACCCATAGAGTTGGAAGCTCTGCTCGGGTTGGTCTGCAAGGCTCTCTCCTGTTCCAGTCCCAGGTTCCCCAGCCTTGCTATGCCTCTGCCCTTTAGTCTGCACAGAGGTCTGGTTCAGTCCATTCCTGGCCTTCTCCTATCAGATGGCCAGTGGTGCCAAAAGCTTGTGGGCCACTTGTGCCCAGTGGGGGTGAGGCTGAGGTTCTCACGCTTGTTTTCACGGTGAGCTAAGCGTGGCTTAGACTGAAGTCTGGAAAACCCGATGTGGCTGGATTGCCTCTCTGCACTCCTCAGTTGCCTTCTGCCCCATGTGGCTGGTTCCTAGCTCTCTAGCCTGCCCACAGGAGATGCTTTGGTGACAAGAATGTGGCTTCATGCAGCAGTGATGGAAAATGAGCCCCTCAGGGATATTAAGTGGCTGAAAAGGGGGTGAGCAGGTCTGCCTGTTCCAGTGTTCTCCTATTCTTCCCCCAGCTCATCTACATGCACTGGATGAACACTATGGTGGGCTATTGTGGCCCCTTCAAATACCAGACTGACTACTGCGAGAAGCTGAAGAGCTACATAGAGACCAATCTGGCCTGGATGGAGACGCAGATAGAGAAAGGAGATGCTCCTGAGTACTGGTACCAGGTTGGTTTGTGCTGCTAAGGGGTAGGCCATACTGTGCATTTGTATGGGTGTGCTGGTCACTGTGGGGGGGAAAAGGGCAGTTTCCTTGGGACTGGGGCTGGAGTCTGGGAGGCCAGTTCCCATTATGCTCCTCCAGGAGCTCTAGACCAGGTACCTACCGGTGAAAATCTGGGTGTTCCATGACTTTAAGTAGAAAGGGGAGCCAGGAACTGGAAGTTACTTGGTGCCATCAGCTTTAAAATTGGCTTGCTGCCCACCTGTGTCCATTAACGTTCCCCTGGATCTTTAACCAAGCGCAGGATTGACGTTAATCCTGGTTGTCTTGCCCACATTCCAGCTGGGGTGGCTAGATCCGGCCTTCATAACTCTCCCCTCTCTGCAGCGTTAGCTGGCAAAGTTCTTCCTGCAGGACTCTGTGTAGGCAATGTGGACTGAGTAGTTCTGTACATGCACCGGAATGGGCTTCAGGGGTGAGCCATAGAGAGCCTGAATTGTCACGGAGAGCTCTCACATGGCTGAGCAGAACCTTCATAGTGATGCAGGACAGCACTCAGCCTGACCCTAGGAGTTTGCAGAATTCCAGGACTCGAGGTTCAGGGGGTCCAGCTTGCAGGCTGAGCATGTGTCAAGCAGTCAAACATGGAGCGGGATGCCCTTCCAAAACCCTTTAGAACTCCCTTTTCCAGTTCTTGTTGCAGCTCTTCCTTCTGCCCTCCCCACGTGACTCTCAGACCCCAGATGACTCGCTAGTCTGTGTGAACGTGGGTTTTGCTGTATTCTTGTCCCTCCCTTGACAGGTGCGCCTGGCTCTGCTGCAGCTGAAGGGCCTTGAGGACAGTTATAACGGACGAGTGGCTTTCCCCACTGGACGATTCTCAGTGGCCCCCTTTGGGTTCCTGTAAGTCTCTTTGGGCATGAGGGTGGATGATTGGCCAGAACCCTTTTAGCTGATGTCAGGATCAAAGGGGCTGGAGAGAGGAGGTGGGTGTTAGCCTGATACGTGCTTGGCAGTTACAGTTCACTGGCAGCTGTAGGGAGGAGCTGGGCCTGCATTCCATATGTAGGCAGTGAGGGGAAGATGTTGGCTTTATGGAGTCATTATTCTCCTCATGCTAGAGGGGAAACTGAGGCACAGAGATGTGCTGTAACTTGAGTCAGCGGTGGGTGTAGAACCAGGAGCTCTGACTCTGCTGTGATGGCACCCCATCACATGCTCTTGTTACTGGTCCTGTTTGGGCATGACTTGTTGCTGTATCCCTGTCTCTTCAGGAAAGGCCCTGTCTTCCTGCTCTACACCCCCCCGCCCCCAACTTCATCTGCTTAGCTTGCTGCCAGCCAATATGCATGGCTCTCGTTGGCTCTGCAGAACTAAGGTCATTGAGGAGAACAGGCTAGATTTGCTTCTACCTCCCAGCGGGCAGTATGGGTTCTTATTGCTCTTTCCCAGTCAGGCAGTTGCTCTATTCCTCAGTTTTCCCATTCCTCAGTTTTCCCATCTATAAACCAGGGAGTGGAGTAGTTTCCTCCCAAGGTCCTGAGAACTGCTTGTTAATGTTTGCAAGATGCCTTGATGACTTCACATTGGGCTGTTGGCCCAAAGGACAGGACCTCACATTTTAATTGTAGTACTGCAGCTTCTTGGACTGTGGGTAGGACGAGTCCAGGCAGAAATAGTCTATTTATACCCACACAGCAGAGTAGACTGACAGATCCCAAATTTACGTGAATACTCTCCTAGCCTTGGGCTCTACTAGTGAGCTGTGACTACCCTGCCCCTGTGCTGCGCTGCTGGGTCTGGTGCTGGCTGTGCCAGTCTCCTTGCTTTATTTTGCCCTGGGGTTGAGGTGAGGCCTGACTCTCTGGAGCAGAAGCAATACCCTGTGCCTGTATTTGCTGCAGACTACAGTTCTATGGCCATTGCTCGGGCTTGCACCTTCCCCATAGTGTGATATGGGAGTCCTGTGTGCCAGGACCAGGAGGGCAGAGTTCTCTGCTTCCTCCGCCCCAGAGTGTGGGCGTAACTTGGAGTATCCTGCAGCAAGCCTTCAGCCATGGAGAGGGCCAGTGGCTCAAGGGTTGTCTCTGCTCTGGCAAATCCAGGGGCTTCTGGCTATGCTGCCGCAGTCCCATGTGTCTTTCTCTTCTCCCCCCAAGCTTGTTCCAGCTGGGTGGTGACCTGGAGGATCTGGAGTCTGCCTTGAACAAAAGTGGAAGAGAGCGCTCCCTGGGCTCAGGGTCTTGTTCCGCTCTCCTCAAGCTGCTGCCGGGGAACCAGGAGCTCTTGGTCTCCCACGACACCTGGAACACTTACCAGTCCATGCTGCGCATCATCAAGAAGTACACGCTGCCCTTCCGGACCTCAGCCCAGAGTACGTAAGGCAGGCAGGGGGCCTGGGAGATTGGTGCTCCTGAGTAGGGGCCAGAGGAAGGGAAGAAGTGAAGGCAGGACGAAGGCGTGGAAAGACAGCAGCAGAAAGCACTGTATCTGCCTACCAGGAAGCAGGATTGTTGGCTGTCCATGGGAAGGATGAGAGGGGTAGCTAACAGAATGGTGCTTCTAGAGACCACATAGATGCAGTGTAAGTTTCCCCGCTTCTTATGCGAAGAGAAGGGTCCCACCAGAGCCAGCCCAAGGTACAGGCCAACCAGGCTACCGGGGCGCACGAATGGCTCAGGCCAGCCCTGGTTCCCACTCCCCTTGCCGTAGATCTTGCCACAATTGTAGGGCTGCTTTTTGCTCTGGGAAGCTGGTAGGACCCATCTCTGGAGGTGACGTGGCATGGCATCTGCATCCCTGATAGCTCCTGTGGTCTGCTCCTTCAGGTGATGCTGTCATCTCTGGGCACGTCCAGACATTCTCATCCTACCCCGGCACCATCTTCTCGGGAGATGACTTCTACATCTTGAGCAGTGGTTTTGTTGTAGGGCTGCTTTTTGCTCTGGGAAGCTGGTAGGACCCATCTCTGGAGGTGACGTGGCATGGCATCTGCATCCCTGATAGCTCCTGTGGTCTGCTCCTTCAGGTGATGCTGTCATCTCTGGGCACGTCCAGACATTCTCATCCTACCCCGGCACCATCTTCTCGGGAGATGACTTCTACATCTTGAGCAGTGGTTTTGTTGCCAGCTGCTGCCTGGATCCTCCTCCCCTGCCTCCCTCCCCCATGCTCCAGCTGTCCCTGGGTTTTGCTCGATAGGGG